CATTCTTAACTCTAGTACACATACTTAAACCAATCTATATTCATTTATTTCATCTTAAACCTCAAAATCCTATCTTCCATATGTAATCCAAGAATCATATCAAATTTTCTATATGTTCAAAACCCGTTTTATTGTAGTATCTAAGTCAGTTTCATATGAATCCCCTTTATTCTCGACACCTATACCCGAAGCAATAGTCTCCGGAGATATATATATATCCTTCCCCATGACATGGGTATTAATTCCTATTATATTACTCTTATTAGGCTCATACTGGAAGGAAGCATTGTTGTAGAATACTCTAACTAGGTTGGGTTAATATGTTGGTTCTACACCAAGGAATTCAAGCCAACCCCACGATGTAAATGTGGATTTAAAACTAAAATCATATTTACCATCGAATAAGAAACCCATGTCAATGACGTTCGGGACAAATCTTCCTTACTTTAAAACTCCTTTGCCATCTTTCTTTTTCCGCATCGGATCTAAAGTTCTTAGTGTCGAACGACCTGATTTCCTCAGAAGAGCTGGGTTGAGAAGATATGGGTTGAGAAAAATTGGGTTGAGAAGAGCCCCGAATTTGACGCTTACGTTTTGGAGCCATTTTCGGTATGGATGTTGTTACATTGGAACACAAACACATTAAGGAAATAAAAGTGACCAATCTGCAAATCAAACAAACCATAATTTATGGCAAAATATAGACAAATTTACCTGAATATCTGATCGTAACTGTTATGAACGATGGTATTCGTCGGAGTCGATGAGTTCTCTTCTGCCTTTAGGTTTAGGTTTAGTAAGGTTTAGGGTTTTTCGATTTGGAGCTTGTATCATATATATAATGAATGAAAAAAATACGAGTAATTTAAAAATGTATCGACACAACTTTAAAATGTGTCGATACATTATGGTGACCTGTTTCAAATTAAATAGGTATATTTATACCGGTTACAATGCAAAATGACCTATTACATTCAAATTATGAATTTCATTGTTTTAGGATCGATACTTTTTATAAATGTATCGACACTTTTTTGTGCACTTTTTGACCATTTACATTCTGGACAAAAAGTATCGATACAAATTCAAAAAGTGTCGATACTTCATGTACACCTGTTTTCTTATAAACCGGTGTATTTAGACCGGTTAGATTGATAATTTACCTATTACATTATAATTATGGGTCTCGATGTTTTTTGGATCGATACTTTTTATAAATGTATCGACACCTTATAGTGACCTTCGTAAGGAAATCATTATGGACACAAAGTATCGACACAAATTAAAAAAGTGTCGATACATCATGTACACATGTTTTCTCATAAACCGGTGTAATTAGACCGGTTAGATTGATAATTTACCTATTACATTATAATTATGGGTCTCGATGTTTTTTGGATCGATACATTTTATAAATGTATCGACACATTATGGTGACCTTGGTAAGGAAATCATTCTGGACACAAAGTATCGACATAAATTCAAAAAGTTTCGATACTTCATGTACACCTGTTTTCTCATAAACCGATATAATTAGACCGGTTAGATTTATAATTTACCTATTACATTATAATTATGGGTCTCGATGTTTTTTGGATCGATACTTTTTATAGATGTATCGACACATTATGGTGACCTTGGTAAGGAAATCATTGTGGACACAAAGTATGGGATCGACACAAATTAAAAAAGTGTCGATACTTTATGTACACCTGTTTTCTCATAAACCGATGTATTTAAACCGGTTAGATTGATAATTTACCTATTACATTATAATTATGGGTCTCGATGTTTTTTGGATCGATACTTTTTATAAATGTATCGACACATTATGGTGACCTTAGTAAGGAAATCATTCTGGACACAAAGTATACTTGGACAAAATGTTGGAATCAAATCTGTGTTTATTAATTTTTTCAGTGTTATTTTCTATTTTTACCACATACATTGTGAATTTACCTATTACTTTAAAGTTATTGCATTTTGTAATTATTGAACATACCTAGATTTGGAATGGCCATTCAGTCCTGCACATGATGACAATTATGTTAGTGACACTTGGAATAATGCAGAATCCTAATGTGTATAAGAAACATGTACAACAACCAATTGATAACTTTTCCCATCTCATACATAATTACATTCACATACAAAATTATAAATCGTATACAAAATTAAAAATCTTATACAAAATTAACTGTACATTTACATCATCGCTTCCTTTTGTTATTCTTGTGTAGCATGACAGCTTTTGTTATCTTCTCTCTTAGTTGATTTTGATTGTGGCATACGAGATCGTTTAATATTCGCATACGATCACATTCTCCAATAACCTATATTCAAATTGTCAGTATGTTAAGTATTGTAAACCACAACATTCAATCTACGACTTTTAACAATGTAACGATAAACTAATTTTTAATTCTACTTACAAAATCACCAATATCCCCGTTATAACTGATCGATTCCATCCACATCATCACATAGATGTCGCAATCATATCCATTCAATTGTTCGGTCATCTTATGCTCCACGAATTTGAATCTTTGCAAGGGGACTTTTTCTAGAGAGCCACATGCTTCTACCCAAATGTGTTTCTCATTATAACTATCTAATATTTTCATATGCATTAAAAAATATGAAGTTATGATCCAAACAAATTATGCATTATAATTTACATAATTTCCTTTCATACATACCAATCTCTTAGCATCATTCACTCTCTGTTTAGCTGCTTTAGATTTAAACAGACTATCATATACAATTCCAACACGTTCTTTCATATCCAACACCAACAGATACCAATGTGAATTATTGTAGTTTATTGTGATCATGATCTGCAACAAATTTCACACACAATTTGATAAAATTCAACATTATATATCCAAAAACATCATTTATGCCTATTCGTATGGTGTCTTACCTTCTTACAGTTGGTGAATTTCATATAGTTAGGCAACATGACACCCCAAAAGCTCGCAATACCCTCAACATTACTGTTGTTGTCAAACGCCTGTTACTGCAATTACGCGACAATTATTATTAAATGTCGATATTTTTTATGTTAAATGTCGATACTTTCGATAGGATATTTACCTATTTCTTTTAAAGTGTCGACACTTGTTTACGCGTACTTATTAAAGTACCGACACTTTCAACATAACCGGTAGCGCTTTACCAGTTTTGTCATTTCGATATCAGTTTTGTCATATTTTTACCTATTATATTGTTATGGATCGATACGTTTTCATAAAGTATCGACACTTTTTAGGCGCTATAATTTCTTCTCTTTTAAATTACGAAAGTGTCAATACTTATATTAATTTATCGACACTTTCAATATATCAGGTATCTTTTTACCGGTTTTATCATTTCGAGACCTGTTTTGTCATATTATTACCTGTTATATTGCTATAGATCGATACATTTGTATAAAGTATCGATACTTTTTAGGCGCTATTACTTCTTCTCTTTTAAATTACGAAAGTGTCGATACTTTTATTAATGTATCGACACTTTCAATATATCCGGTAGCTTTTTACCAGTTTTATCATTTCGAGACATGTTTTGTCATATTATTACATGTTATATTGCTATGGATCGATACATTTGTATAAAGTATCGACACTTTTAGGCGCTATAACTTCTTTTCTTTTAAATTACAAAAGTGTCGATACTTATATTAATTTATCGACACTTTCAATATATCCGGTAGCAGTTTACCGGTTTTATCATAATGACACCGGTTTTATCATATTTTTACCTGTTATATTGCTATGGATCGATACATTTTTCATTTGTATCGACACAAACTGACAAGCTAAGTTTGCCGGTTGCCAAATTTTTTAATATTTTCTTCATGATTTCTACCTACAACATTATTATTACTCAATATTTCAAGTAACGCTAAACCAAATTTATTAAATATATTATAATATATCCGATAATATCATATATTAATTATATATTAACCCGACTTTCCTGAGACAATCCCTAAGAGATGGAACCCATAGACGAGTAGGGGAATTCAAATGAAGCCGGCAGATGTCCTGGCATGGAAGTGACAGCTTTCTGGATGGTTTATGTTAATGAGGTTGTCGTTAATTAATATTGTAAGAAAAGTCATTGATGAAATTTGAACACACAATTAGTTGTTGCTTTTTGAAAATGATATCAACAGCGACGTTTATTGGGAAAGAAAACAGTGACATGCTTTTTGATATTTAATAATTGAACTTTTTATTTATTCCTTTTCTAAAAGTGTATATATATTAATAGATTGGTGAAAGTAGAAATTTAATGTTCAAGGGAGGCGTAGATTTAGCGGAGTAAACAGTTGGTCGTATTTAATTGAATTAAAAAAATTAAATTAATCAAATTAATAAATATATTTTAAAATTTAAGATTTTTGAATTAAAATTATAAAATCAAAATTTACTAAAAAAATTATAAAATTCGCTCAAATAATTCAATTTAGCCTCTTAAAGAAGAAAGTGAGAGAATCAGGGCTTGCCTCGTTATATTCACAACTAGGGCAATTTTGGTTTAATACCGTATGAGGCTAATTATTTAGTCCAATACGACATTAAATTTTTATTTTAAAAACTACGAAATTTGTTACAATGACTTGAAATTTTTTATTAGTACTAGTACTTCTATTCAATAAAAATCTAATAAAAAATTATATTTCATTATAACTCGTCATGTCGTGATGAGTTTAAATATAAAATATTATTTGAATATACTCATCACCTCGAAGTGATGTGTTTCCATGTAAAGCAGCATTTGTCGTAAATTGCAAAATAAAATTTGAGGTGTACTATTGGACCAAATAATTTTTACTCCCTCGGTTGGGCCCATAAAACCCATTCACTAGATATGATTGAATATGGACAACCTGTAGTAATGGCCCAAACAGAGCCCATTGTTTACCATTGTCGTTTCTACAACATTTCTCATTACTCGGGAAACTCACTTTTGTAATCCTAAACCCCCCAAAACCCAGCAGAAACCTTCACTGTAAACAATGTATTCATCAAATCTACCGACTTGGGTCTCATCAAAACCTTCAAATTCCACCAAAAATCAACTTATTTACCAATTTAAACAAATCCCATTTCTCCAATTTTCCAATAGATTACCCCCGAAAAGCCTCTCTCGATCTCCTTCACCCTTCCCTCAGATCCATTGCCGCCTTCGAGAGCTCCGAAAACGAATCGAAACGGTGAAGAGCACTCAAAAAATCACTGAAGCAATGAAGTTGGTGGCGGCTGCAAGGGTCAGGAGAGCTCAAGAAGCTGTAATCAACGGTAGGCCTTTCACCGAAGCTTTGGTGGAGTTCCTTTACACCGTTAATGATAGTTTACAACGTGAAGATGTTGATTGTCCTTTAACTGTTATTAGGCCTGTAAAGAAAGTAGCTTTAGTTGTTATAACTGGCGATCGAGGTCTTTGTGGAAGTTTCAACAATGCAGTGATTAAAAGGCGGAGTCCCGGATTTCTGAATTGAAAGGTCTTGGATTGGATTATGCTGTTATTAGTGTAGGAAAAAAGGGTAATTCTTATTTTAGGCGGAAAGACGATGATTTGGTCGATAGATTTGTTGAAGGAGGAGGGTTTCCTACTGCCAAAGAAGCTCAGATGATTGCCGATGATGTTTTCTCGTTGTTTATAAGTGAAGAGGTCGATAAGGTCGAGCTTGTGTATACGAAGTTCGTATCTTTTGTGAAGTCAGCTCCTGTGATTCGGGCTTTGCTTCCGTTGTCGGTGAAAGGTGAGGTTGTCGATGTGAATGGCAATTGTGTTGATGGTGTGGAAGATGAGTTGTTTATGTTGACAACCAAGGGAGGGAAGCTGGCTGTGGAGAGGAATAAAGTGAGGGTGGAAGGAGGGGGAATTTCTCCTCTTATGCAGTTCGAGCAAGATCCGGTTCAAATTCTCGATGCTATGATGCCCCTTTATTTGAATAGTCAGATCTTGAGGGCATTGCAGGAATCATTGGCGAGTGAGCTCGCAGCCAGGATGAATGCAATGAGTAATGCTACTGATAATGCGATCGAGTTGAAGAAGAATCTTTCCATTGTCTACAATCGGGAACGGCAGGCAAAAATTACACGTGAGATTTTGGAGATTGTTGCTGGAGCTGAGGCACTTACCTAAATTCATAGTTTGATCGTTTTCACTTCTCCTTTCTTGTATGTTTCTTTTCTTCTATATCTTGTTGATACAAATGTTCCGATCGGCTAAGATACGCCAGTTATGATCATGAAGTGCAAAGAAACTATATTATTAGATCACAGAAACTATTTACTCTAATGAATGCACAACTTCATCCATCCTATATATAACAAGCAGCAGAATTTCTGCTCTTATTTAGAACCTTAAGAAGTTTCTGCTCTGCTAGTGATTATATGCAGATGTCGATTTCGAAGTGGAGAGGTTACTGATTTGAAGCTACATTGTCTACCTCTTGTTAAGGTTTCATATGACAAATGGAAGTATGTCATCATGATTGAAGTAAGCCAATTCCAGTGGCACTTGAATTCTCATGCAAATTAGCATTATTTGTATGCAAAACCAGTGGTTTAATCATGAATGGTTGGGAAAAACCCATCCTTTTCTTAACGGAACGATGACATAGCTAACTGTTACCGACAAGACTAGATATTTTGCACAATATTCCTCTTTTGATGCTAAGCTCGGAGACAAAGCACCTTGTGCATGCTCTAGCATTTGTAAAGCAAAGGAGGCTCTCAAGGAAGGCTTCTTTTGGAGGATTGGTTTTGAGGGGGCTGCCCGGATACATTTTGATCGATGAGGATGGACTAAAGCGGTCATGCTCTTATGCACATATGTGGATAACCCCTCGACTCCCCTACGATGTAAGGACTTTATGTTTCGAGGGTCACCAAGGTGGAAAGAAGATGTTTAGAAGGTATTTGCTATGCTGGACGCGGAAGCTATTGTAGGATCTCTCATCTCCCCCCCCCCCCAAGCGTATGACCACCTCGTGTGGGAACTCCACAACACGGGGCTTCTTCATTACAAAGTCCGGATACAACTTGCTTTCGATGAAAGCTGGCACCGAGAGAGATCAATCAACTATTTGGAAAGCCTTGACGAAACTCCCCACTCTCCCAAAAATTAAAATTTTTTGGATGGAGGCTGGGACATGATGCACGGTTTTTTTTGGCCCAATACCCCCGGCGAGTAAAATATTTAGAGTATTGGGCCTACCTGAATTTTATTTAGTGAACTACGACATTTAATACAATACGCCTGGAATTCGTCACTTTAAGATGACGAGTCCCTCATATATTATTTTTTTAATAGTCCTCACGTAGTGGTTCCCACGTGGGCCATTATTTAATTTGGGTTATAATGACTCGTCATGCAGACATGATGAGTTTATTAAAAATATTTTTAAGAAATAATATTTATAAAATAAAAAAATTGATGAAACTCGTCATGTCGAGGTGACGAGTTCATTCGAATTAAAAAAATAGCCGTTGGACAACAAACAGTAACGACTAAGTGAACTCGTCACCTAGAGGCGACGAGTTCGTCCGAGGATAGTTTAAAAAAAATTAAAATTAAAAGAAAAATCAATTTATTTAAATTTTACAAAATACAAAGTAAATAAATAAATATAAAAAATAAATTTTTACATGAAAATTACAAAGTAAAAATCAATTTGTCTATGTCTTCTAAGTTCTTGACGATATCGCGGAGTGGTCGAACGATAATACCACAGGGCTCGTCGAGTACACCGGGTCTTAGGCCTTGATAATCGTCGCCATCACCGTCTTGCCGAGGAGGTGTACCTAACACACTCTACGATCCACATTCGAAAGACAATGATGTATTTATGACATTTAACGCTAACATTGTCATAATTGCTTCGACTTGGCTTTTGGTGACCATATAAGATGTGGTCCTACTCACCCGCAACCTCATGTTTTGTTGAAGATGCTAGAGTGTATTACGATGCATCTCATGAACCTCCAACCCAATTCGGTAGAGTATCGGTTGAAGCATGAAATAGAGGATTGAAACTGAAACTAGCCTGAGATGTGTAATTGTACTCTTCAGCCGCATATGATGAAGCGAAAGAAGACGACGATGATGCTTTCTTCTTTGACTTGTTTGACTTGGCCTTGGACTTGGACTTGGCGCGTGTGGCTTGATGATGTTGCCATTCTGCCATCTCTTCCAGTATCGTGAGATATGGTTTGTCATTTTTTTCGTAAAGCCAAAGATAGTGGTAATAGCTGAAATCTAAGTCCAGCGATGTAATGTCCTGACGACGGGGAGCGATAGTTCACGCTAATTCATAACGAAGGTCTTTTATGGAAGTTGTTCTCAACCTGGCGTTGGGGGCAACCTACTACCCTACCTCCTCCTTACCCCATTACATATGGGAATAGGGTCAACTAATTTTGATGTAGTAAGTGTGTCGCGCCGACCAATTTTCATTATGTTTCCCACGCGTATCGATTATATGGAGCGCGTCCATATCAATCATGATTTCCGTAGGAATCGACTAGTGCGTCGCAAATTGGCGCATCACTCTTCCAGTCCTATGCTACTCAACAATTGCTTGGTGTAATAATGACGTCACGACACACCATGAGTGAGACCCCTCTAAAAATCCCACCGACAATACATGGTAGATCTCCTCGTCAACATACGGAAGCGAAGAGAACTGTAAATATTAAATATCAAAGTTAGTATATATAAAGTTAAAAAGTATTCAAAAAATAATAAAAATAGTGTATGTCATACCACGAATCGACCGACGAGGTCAATCCTTATCTGTATGTCTCGTGCATCGGCACCGACCGACTTTGTCTTAGTTATTTTATGATGTTATCTAAAATATTTAAAAAAATTATAAGCAAAGAAAAAAATAAATAATTTTTTTAGATTAAAAAAAGGGTTAAATAAATAAAGTTAAACAATTACCTTGTAACCAGCGAAAACTCGACCAGGATGTCTGTAATCGACGTAAAAGAGGGCAAGCGATACCAGGTCCAGGACTGTAGCAGTAACAGACAACCTTCTACATTGACTTTTCGACCACGCTGGACAGTTGCAACCTTGCAAAGCTCCCGGTAAAGAAAGGCCAAAATTGTTGAGCCTCAATTGGTATTCCGACCCACAGCGAAGTCTTCCGAATACCATGGATACTAGGTGTATGCCAAATTACCATATTTGTCTTGTAATAATATCTTTATGATCACTTGGAGAAAAAAATACTCGGGACACGAAAACAACCTCCTCCTTGGTAGACTATTAAGTGACTTGGAATTCGGACTCTAGCCACGTTATCATTATCCGATAGCCCCTCATGAAGTCGGATGGTGGCCATTTTCCCAAGACTTGGAGGATCAACGTCGCGGGGTCGTAAGAGTTACTCACGACGGGGGCTCCATTCACCAGAACACCAAGTTGGTAAGCGACGTCTTCCAGAGTAAATGTTGCTTCACCGCTTGGAAAGTGGAACGTGTGCATCTGGGGGTGCCAGCGTTCGATCAAAGCTTCGATCAATATCGGGTACACCTTGAAGCCACATAAAAATATGGTAGGAAATAGACCGGATCGATGTAGATATATCATCATTCGTTGATGAGACTCTCTAGTTGTCATCCCCCGACTTCAAATACTCCATTCGTCATCCGGTCCGTGTTGGATCGAAGAAACATGGACGTTATCCAGGCGTAATATATATTCTCGGGTTGCCATTTTTCAAGATTTTGCACAACGTATGTTTTTTTTTTAATTTTTTTTCAGATTCAGGTTTTTGTGAAATTCCAAAACCCCAAACTCCTATTTATAGCCTTACTCCCAACAACTATAAACAACCAGTTTTTCAAAATGGTTGGTCGAACTCATCACCTCGAGGTGACGAGTTTCATTGACCGTTACTTCCCCTCTTCCCGTTGAACAACAACTATTTTTTTGAATTTGAAGAAATTCGTCACCTTGACTTGACGAGTTCAATCGATTTTTTTGATTTTATAAATATTATTTCTTAAAAAAATTAAAAAAAATATTTTTTAATCGACATGACGAATCATTACAACCCAAATTAAATAATGGCCTACGTGGAGCCCATTACATGGGGACTATTAAAAAGTAATATTCGAAGGAACTCGTCTCGTAATTTGCTAAATAAAATTCGTGTAGTCCCAATACCTTAAATTTTTAAACACCCATGCTGCACTCCCAATGGGCTCCCGGCTTGGAGTGGCTGAACTCAGCGATGGAATGTCCTATGTGTAAACAAAACTTAGAGACAATCTTGCATGCCTTTAAAGAATACTCGGTTGCTAAGGAAGTTATCACGTTATCGGGGCTTGATCATTTCCTCATATCAGCACATTCCACCTCCTGCAAATCGTGGCTTGAAGAGGCTGTCGCCTCTCTTAATCGGAAAGGTTTCACCACACTGCTCGGAATCGACGAAACAAGCTGGTTCATGACGAGGAGCTTCAAACCGCGAGAGAAGTGATTACTACTGCCTGGGCCCTTGGATCCTCCTTTAAAGAGGCGAACGACTCCACAAATGGCCCTTCCACAAAACCAAGTAGAAGCGCAAAACCTGGCTGGAAGAAACCGACAGAGGGGTGCCTTAAAATTAACGTTGACGGCACGCACTTGGCTGCCTGGCTCAGGAATTGCTGCCATAGGTGTGGTTGCAAGGGACCACCATGGAATGGTTGTTGGAGGGCTCGCTCGTAGGTTGGAGGGCTGCCACAACTCTGAATCGGTGGAAGCCATGGCTTTAACATACGAGATCCCATTTGTATTTGAAAATGAGTGGAACGGTGCAACAATTGAAGGACCCGCCATTCCCATAGTTAATCGCTTGGCGAACAAACAAGAAGATATTTCCGTGATCGGATTGATGTTCAACGAGGCTCGAAAAGCATTCAAGCATCATTCAAACCTTAGAGTACACTATGTTAATCAAGAAGTTAATAGGGTAGCTCATTCTTTGGCTCATTGGACTTTGTCGAACACCAATCCGTTGTGGTTTTATTTTGACTAACCAGAAACGATGTCCTCCTCGATGTTATTAACGGCTAATTGAATGAAAGAAGTCTTTAAACAAAGTGGGATGATCCACATACAGACAGATTACTACGATGGATTCTCTCCTTAAACAAAGGGAAGGAAAGGGTGAATTCGGGTTGATAGATGAGATGAGCTAGAAGCAAAGAAACAATATTTTATTATAAAAGAGACGAGAGT